AAAAAAAATCCCCATCAAGTTCAGTTTCAGAATCTGTAACTTTGGACAGCAGAGTAAGTGCTCTCGAGAAATTAGAAAAACTTTTCTGTAGAACTGATCAAGAATCAGCCACAACTCTTGGAGGTTTTTCCATGACTGTCCCTACTTTTAGAGCATGGAGTTGTCCCTAGTTTTAGAGCATGGAGTCGTGGAAAGCAAAGCACAGCTGGATGAAACTACAGAAATTTTGGTGTACTAAAGGCCACCATTCTGATGAAAAATGCTAACTCCAGGTTCCTGAAATTTGCTACGATTTTGCCTTGAAGAAGCTTATTCATATTTAAATTTTATAACTGGAAATTAAAGCAAAACAGCGAAACAGTTTGCTTAAGAAATTATTTCATAAAAGCAGTAAGTGAGGCAATGACTAATAAATGATCCTTTTAGTTACTTAGGTTTGAAATGCAAGGACATGCTGATACAGAAATATATAATGTAATATTATTTCAGGCAAACTCATACTACGGTTTGTAAAAATACAGTGAAACATTCCTGTACGACAATATTTTGGGGTTTTTTTGTTTGATTGTTTTTTGACACTTTTGCCCACAATTTCATGTACACACAGTGCATGGATATGAACACAATGAAGCATATTTACATAATGGTCACAGAAAATTGACTAGTGTTTCCCAGAAAGCACATTAAAAGAATTACTACCCAAGTTAATAAAATTACTAATACATCCATTTTCACTGAAAAAAACTGCTTGAAAATCTTAAATCACACAAAAACCATTTTGATACTGAGAGCTACAAAATTCTTAAGAAACATGCACCACACAAGAACTGGAACAATCTGCAAAAAAAAGCTGTAAGCAAATTTAAATAATCTAAGTAAAATGAAATATGATCAGACACAATATTTGTTCTTAAAACTTATCAGTTGGATATACTTTCCATGGTTATTTCTTCCCTAAGCCATTTTGGTAGGCTAACAGCCAAGCACAGCAATGAGCCACCCATTTAACTGGGTGGCAGGCTCACTTCTTAAGTTAACAAAACCTTTATTTTTTTTATTTATTTTTGTAACCCTTGGGGTTTCTTTTCCCTGGACGGCTCTGGAACACACGCTGGACAGGCTGTCATTACTTGCATTATTAGCTCTGATAAGCACACAGCTCTAGGTGGTATAGCTGCAGGCTAAGGTACTGGGCTGGGTACAGATGGACCCCTGTGCTCACGCAGAGCACTATTGAATGTATAGGGGCTCCCCATAGGGACACATGTGAACCCAGCCTGATCAAGCCAATTGTAAGGGCCCATACTTGTGGAACAGCTTTATTTCCTACACTACCGATGCATTTATCACAATTTCCTAAAGACAAAAAGAAACAGAGGTCTACTAATAGGAGTTTCTGAACATGAACTTAACATAAAGCAGAAAATCCTACATTGAGAGCAAGTTAAATGAGTATCCCTGCCCTCAGTGTAAACAACTCCATCTCAGGCATGTGTGTACACTCCACAGCACACAAACCAAGTCACAAGAGCTTTGATTACTTAATTACACAGCTTATGTTCATAGCTTATAATTGTTTACAGCATAAAAAGCATAGCCTATTTACTCTGATTAACACCTATCCCTGTGTACTAACAAGACAAATGTATTCCAGGAATAATCTCACAATGGATTTCTAAGATGGTAAATCTACTGATCACAAAACTGCTTAAGCTTCATTTCCCATGGTTTGGTCTCTCCCCTCCACCCAGATGAAAAGGTGTACAACAGAATAACTGAAGCTTTGCTACCACCATTTTATTTTAATAGAGGAATTAGTGTGGGATTTTGCCTGCCTTTTTTTTAAAAAAAGTATGTTTCAGAAATACTCAGTTTCTACTTCTAACTTTCACACAATTTGATCAAAGCTGGCTCACAGGTGACTGAGGAATGATGGGGAGATAGATGTATCCACAAACCTTATTTTCCTAAAGATAAAAAACTAAACTCCATACAGAAGAAAGAAGGAAGAAATTATACTTTTGCCTAGCATCACAGAAAAACCATAACATTTGGCTTTAAAATTTATGGAGGGAAAATGATGGAGAAGCTGCAAGGTCCACAGTTCACAGCTCAAGAACCTCAATATTGGTCGCTGCCACAGAAAATGAAGATGCTGAAACCAAAGTCCTCCTGTCACACGAAGTTCAGAGGAGAAAAACACATACACAGTGTCCCTTTGGTTAATCTCAAACAATATTATACAAATAGCAAGCCATCAAAATACTTTTAACCGACATCTTTCAAATGACCCACACTATTGCAATTGCTTTTCATCTTCATTTTTTCACCAACAGGTATATAGTTCAAAGTAAAAATGATTCAGCTATTGTTCAAATGAAAAAAAAGGTCTGTTAAGTCCTTCTGGCAGCACTGGAAGGCACCTGATGCCACCTGCCTTTGGCAGATACTACTGTAACACTTCTTTTTTATATTTTTTGGAGACTCTCTAAAAGCAGCTGCCTAAAAATACACTAGTCCACTTTACCTAGACTTGATTCTAGTCATGGAGTGCTTTAAGGACAAAACTCCAGAAACTTCCTTTGAAGTTTCTTAAATAATAGCGAAACACAAAAAGCCACATGCCATCAGGGAAACAATTGTTCTTACTGCCATGGTAAAAGTCACTGAAATAATTCAGGTAAAACAATATGGCAACAAACTAAAATGCACTCCTTTGTCAGTAAATACTGTTGGAAGATGCACAGAAGACACTGATAAAAATTTGAAGAAACAAATGTTAAAACAAGTTACACTGTGTGGGAGGTTTGCTATACAGCTGAGTGAAAGTACAGAAGTTTTTAACTTCTCACACCTTGAGGTATTTGCATTTCAGCTATGAAATGCCTTTTTTTTTTTTTTTTTTGTGAGCCACTGAAGGAAGGATGTACTGGAGAAGATCTATTCTCAACAGGAAGTGGCTTCTTGAATAAAAAAGAATGTATTATGGAAAAACTGTGCGAATGTAGCTACTCATGGACTGGCTGCTTTGACTGGAATAAAAAAGGGATTCCAGTCTAAGGCTACAGAGTTAGCACTGCACATGAAACTCCTTCACTGCACCACTCAGAGGTGAGCTATTGCAGCAAAATAGTTGGAGCCAGGAGTGCACAACGTGCTACAAGATGACATCAATATTATACATATATACACACGCACACACATATATATGTATAAAACTTGACAAAAACAAGCCCTTCAAACAGCGGCATCTTTACCAGACTTTGTAATGAGATGGGATGGGGCCACAAACATCCCTGGCAGAGGTTCATTCTCCAGATAACTTGTGGCAAAGCGCTTAAAAGAGTTGTCATTTCAAAAAAAAATGTGTCAGGTTTGACAAGTGCTCCAAATCCACTGACCTTTTCAGTTATGACAAGTGGCTGTGAGTAGTTTGCTACCTAGCAGAAATCTCCAAAAATTAAATACTCAATGTGTCCCTTCAAGGGGAAGGTGTCATTTTAACAATGAGTAAGAAGTAACTCCTTTGCAAAAGAAACTTGCGCTTTGGAGAAAGCACTTAGAAAATAAGTATTTGGATATGATTACCTAGTTATGTAATTTTTGGTTTGGTTTCGCTGGTGAACAAAACGTGTGTCACCGACAAAAACCTCCTATATCTGTACACTTTAAAAGGATATAAACAGAACTTTCTAACCTACTAAAAATCTTCCCGAAGAGAGTTTTAGGGGGTTGAAAACACTGATATGCAACACCTTGTAGTTTTGAACAAAAAGCTAATTGACATCAGGGAAGAAGATCATTTATTAACCCAATTTTAAGCAAAACAATTGCAAAACTTGTGGATACGACTGAAAAATGAGTATAATTAAGTAAAATTAAGTAAGTGAAAGCAACTATGCAAATTCATAGATCCCCTTCCATGGTGATATATGCATCTCTGTAAGGTATCTTGTCCAGGCATGACACCCATTAAGATCAAGTGCTGAAATAAACTAAACTTAGAACCAGGTATTCAAATCCCTGTGTCTCAGTGTTAAAGATTTTAAAAATTATGATGCGTATTCAGTTGTACGGATCTCGATAAAAAGAACTGTTACTAACAGTAATCTTGTCAGATTGATAAACAGCTTAAAAACATTTTAAAGTACTGTTTATTTCATCTTTATCTGATCTTTTTTAACTTCTATTTTTACATTTATAGTGTACATAATATGTAAGTACATTTAGATAATTTATAAATTAATATACCTATACTGGGATTGTGCAGTCAGAAATTTTTTACTGATGGGGTGCATGAACAAAAGAAGTTTAAAGAGCACAGATCTGGATGACCAGATGCAAATGCCCTCTAGTGAAAGCTGACACTTGTACAGAGTAATTCCATGACTTTTCATCCACTCTTACAGCAGCATTCTTGGCTAACCTGTGTGTAAGTAGCTCTCAGCAGAGGTGGTTACACCACTTTAAAGAGTTATTGTCCAGTACTCTTCAAAAGAAAATGAAAGCAGAAGTACACTGCATCACTCTATTTCAACATTTGTCTAGTAACATGTGTGTTTATGTGCATGGACCATTTCAATGTTGGGGCAAGAAAACGATGCAGTAAGTTGGGAATATTTAAACAAATTTATTATAATGAGAAATGCTTTAACTGGAGGTTTACATGAGACAATTGAATTTATATAGGTAGTAAATACTTAAATACAGTAACTCTTGTGCTGCTCTGTCACCACCAGACTGAGATGTGAAAAGTTTTTTATTATTCATACTAAATTCTACAGCCCTTAAGAACAAGTCATTTTGGATAACAGTCCACATCACTAAGCAGCCAAAGCGAACACAACAGATTTATATGTTTCAATACTGGTTTCACAGTGAACTGATAGGATGGAGATCACACATATTAATTCTCTGACTACGTGATTTCAAAGACAAGGATTATCTCCAGGGCACAAAAGTGAATACATCTGATCTCCTAAGGAATATTTGACTCTTACCTTGCACCTTATCTGAACACAGCTCCTTGGCTCGATCCCTCATTATTTGTGGAATCAAAACATCTTTTTCTACATGTCTCAGCTTAGAATTTTCTGCAAGAATGAAAAAAGATAATTTTGAAAAAAAAATTGTTATCTATACATCAGAAAAAGTCAATCTAAAGAAATAACATTGTTTATGTAACATACAAGACTACACTAAAACTGTCACAAACAGCAGCAGAAAGTACCATGAAAGCACCACACAGTTTAAAAGGATGGAAAGTCCTAAATTTGCTCATACAAATATGATATTAGATAATAACAGATAATAGTTTATTATTATTATATTATTTTGATAATTATCATTTAGATAATAATAGATAATAGATAAAAAATATGAGCATTATCCTGAATATTTCTACTCTGTTAAATGAGCACTATGAAACAAAAATAAAGGAGTAAATTCTGGCAGCACTTTTGAATTTCTGCCTTACTGAATAAAAAAATCTGCATACAGACAGCACAGCAGTTAAATACTTTTATTTCTGGATACTAGTATTTTTCTATGCACATGATATGTATGTACTCTTTCATTCACTGACACAAAGCTGAGAAAAACAGCACATATTAGAGCACAACCTAGAATTTGTGCGGTTATGTGGGTAGACTTCAGTTTTACAGAAGAAAATGTAGTCTATTCAATGGAGGATCTTTTTCATTGAGAAATCCAACTTAAAAGGAAGAAATGCTGCTGCCTGATTTCTATACTTAAAAGTAAATTTGTAGTTTGCTTTCAGTTGTCTCCAGAATTCTCTTCAGTACAGCTAGTGATTTGGGATAAACAACACAGACCATTATGAAAAAAAAAATACTGCTTTTCCAAAACCACTTTATTCAAAAAAAAGGGATGAGAATTTATCAGGAATAGTTTTTTACTTCTCAGTTTCTGAGTTTAAAAACTTTTAAAGAACATTTGCTCAATCCAGTGCAGTTACACCAAATACCTGATTTTCATCTTCAAACACACTATTTATTCAACCTTTGAAGTTGATATCACATTTCAGAATAGCACCAGTTAGGATGCTCACACGTCAGAGTTATTTTGGGTGACAATCATTTCAATTTAAAATCGCTTATTAAAAAGGAGATGAAATGAAGAAAAAGTGTAATGTATTGAAACTAAGGAAAGAAGCAGGTTTTAAGTTACCTACAGCTTACAAACACTTATTCAGAGCATTTTTGGTTACCTCTCCATTAAAAACAATCAAAACCAACATTTGTCATTCTTAAGTCATCATCTTTTAGAGTTTACTAATGCCAAGAGATTACATTATGAGATTACACAGTATTACATATGTGATACTACTAGTGGAATCTGGCAACAACAGAGGATTACAATGAGTAATATACATTTAAAAGACATTTCTCCTCAAAAATATCCTTCTTAGCATTTCTACAGCAGGGAAAAAGCCTCTATTATATGTATGTACATACAACAAAAACACTAAAAACAAATAGCTCAGGACTTAGATTTGCTTCCATGCTCTGATTTTCATATTAAAATATTTCAAATATCAGATTTCTACAAATATATTATTTTACAGATAAAATATTACAAATATCCTTAATTTTCATTTTCTGCAGAGCATCAGTGCAATGACTGTACCAAACACTTGCTACAGTACATAGGCAACAGACAAGATAGAGCTGTCAGAAAATGTCCATGCATGTTTTATAAACAGGACAAATCCGTTCAGCTGAATGACATGGCAGGAACTGGCACCACCAGGCTACGTGCCTCAGCTCCACTCATTCCAGTCAAAGCAAGCTGGCAAAGCCTTCCTGTCCTCTCCCCATCCCTATGATGCTCTTTTCCCTCTGCCCACACAGATAGGCTCAGCAGCCCTGTGGTGAATGAAAGAGGAAGTTAATTTCCTTTAAAGGTAAATACATTTCCTGTTAGGCAATTTTTCAGCTAGGCAAATTTACTGATCCTGTGAACAAAAGTTCCGTGTATAACTCCAAAGCTGCCCATATGAGGGAATTCTGTGAGACTAGGACAAGAGGAAAAACTGAAGTACCATGAGTACTACTGGCTCAAATGACAGTCTGAATTTCTGCTCCCCACACTTTCTTTTTCTAAACTCAACTTGGCTATACTGGTGCTTGCAGTACACAGAGTACAAATGCAGATACAGTTAAACAAGTGGGTTGCCACCTGTCACCAAAAGGGAAGTTTTACCAGCCCCACATTGCCCTTACCCACACCCATCACATCATCATTATTATGCACCTAACCACACAGTGAGCAGGTCAAAACAGAAAACTAACTCAAATACATGCAAAAAAGTGCTTCTCGGCTGATTCACACTTTGGAGTAATTAGATCTACTTATCTACTTCCCATAATTAGCATAACAGAATGTCTTGAGTTGGAAGGGACCCACAAGGATCATCACAAGACCAACTCTTGGCTCTGCACAGGTTCAACATGGAAATGTAGCAGAGAGAAGTCCTTAGGGCCTGGGAAGAACAGCTGGGCTTCCCCTGCTGGCAAAGCTAGCCAGAAGCATCCACGATTTTCACAATGACAAAGCACAGGGCTTCAGTGCAAGGATCAGCTATCCCACCACTGACAAAGAGAAGTGGGTACAAATTCAACTAGGAAGGCTAGAAAGGAAACAAGACACAGGGCCATCTGGAAAAAAACAAGTAAGCAAGCAAAGAAAAAAACCCAAAAAGAGAAGATATCACTGATAGCCAAAAACGGTCAAAAAAGAACTTGAGTTTTCTCTTAGGTTAAATACCCAATCTTCTGTTTGATTATTCAAAGGAAAAGGCACATAAGATTGATAGCAAGGAGTAGCTCTACTGGTGTTAACACCAGCACAACCAGAACCATGACAGAACTGTGCTCCAGGCAAATTCCTTCTTTTTAGTCCCATGTTGTCAAGTCTACAAATGTTGAAAATGCAGGAAAGAGAGGGCACATCAGGACACTGGGCAGCATCCAGTAGGAAGAATGAGAAGAGATCTACAACAGTACTTCAGAGATAATTATACAACAGTATAAAGGAAACTACAGTAAAGACTGTTTATAATAGCTTTCTGTGGTTGATCAAAACTCTCAGCTGCAAAAGCTCTTTACTGACATGGAAAGCCAAGGACCACAGCTGGTCAGTTTAATAGTTTTCATTATTTTTGTAAAAATGACCAAACCCCAAAAAAATAATATACATTAATAGGAATGAGGACATCCCAACCACTAGAACACATCAAATTCACTCTGTATGGCAGCTGGGAAAACAGATGACAAATAATTTGCTGGCTTTTTAGCCTCTGACCAAAGGACCCAGGATGGCCTTGAGAACAACAGGAGCACGGTGCAGAGCTGTGCTGAAAGCAGCAGACCTTTAAGGTGAAGAGGAGAATGAAATACAAAGCTTTACAGTCCTAACAACAAAAGGGACTGTAGCAGCTTCTCATATTAATTAGGACAGTATTACAAGAAGAGGATACCAAGACAAAAGCTTTCCTAGAAGAGTGATCTGAGAGAAGTCATATCATCTCCCCACTTTGTTCAACAGCTGGTAACTGACTTGCTTACCCACCTACGACCTGCTGGTAGTTAACAGCTCTGCTCTCAGGTCTTTCATGACTTCGGGTAGCAGGAACATAGATTACTCAGGAAAGTTGAAATCTGCTCTACCCAGATAGTTAAAGAGGCCTCACACTTTCTCCATCTAAGGGGAACTGAGTCAAGCAATTCCACTAACAGTCTTTGAAATCTGCATTTCTATTTATACAACCTATAATTTGGATTTTCTTGATTTTTTGTTTGTCCACATTCAAAAAATGCTCCAAATAGTACTTTAAATACTATTGTTCTTTCATTAAGAAACACAGTATATATGAAAAACAGATAAAGCTTTAGTAACTTTATATTATTTTAATTAGCAACTGTACTATCTCATGTTTTTCTTGAAATCCCACTTCTATCAACTTTTAAACATCAGTTACATTCCTTTCTAGCAAAAATGCTGTATCCAAGTGAAAATACAACACTTCAAGAAAAACATAAATTTTAAAAGCAATCACATTCACTGTTTTGGAAGACTGGCTGAGAAATGTGGAGCCATAAAGGGGACCTTCTTGTTTACTGCACTTTAATATGTTTTTCCTACCAGTTGCCATCAAAGGTAAGCAGCTGTGAGTAGACAGATTTCTAAGATACCTTTATTTTTTAAGTGAGAAATAAAACTTGAAAAAGTATCAATGAGAATTTCAGCACTAGAGTGAGCAGTTACTAAAGTGAAAAGGGAAGAAACCCAAGGAGTTGCATGTAGAATTACCATCTCATCACATTTGAAGAAAATCTCCACTGCAAATAAGTTTTTTTCCTTGAAGGGAAGGTTGTGTTTTCATCTACGATGAGTCTACTAAAACTTGAATTTAACAGCCATTCTGTGATTTCCTCCATATGCAGACCTATAGTATACACAACAGTTGAGATGGTTTGGAAAATAATAAGTTTATAACTAAGTTGCAAAATTGCATTAATTTAGAGGATTCAGTTATTTCTCATGTCACTCAGTAAAAATTGTTTCTGTAAGGTAAATATTCCATTTCCTTACAAAGTTTTCCTTTAAAGCACTTGCCTATGAGCTAATTATAAAAATACACTGGAAAAGTCAACTTTTCTTAATAATAGAAGGAACAGCACAGTGTCCACTGCCTGCTTATTGGCAAACATTCCTTTCATCAATCAGACTATTGGTTCTAGACATTAATTTTTTTTTAAAAAAAATCAGCTCTATTTTAGTGCACCTATAACAGTGTTTTGAATAAGCAAATATAATTAGAGCTTATTATTATTAGTACTCCTCCAGGAAAATAATGCATTCAATTGAAAATTTCATCTCCATTATTCTGCCTAGCTTATTCCCCTTGTATTAAATAAAAATTACCATTCTTAGGTTAATTCATGTGAATCATTTATGTATATGTGCATCATAAAAATTTATCCAAAAAGTCTGTATCATTGAATATATTATCAACTACTCAAAACCTCAATTTGAAAACACTAAGTCACACATCAGAACAAAT